GTAGACTTCAAGAGGGCAGGGGATTTTTTTTTAATCTCTTATTCAGTCTGTCCTGTCCCCAGCATCTCAGTCATCCTGAACACCATAGAGGGTCAGTAAATATCTGTTGCGTGAACGGACTGAGGGTGGAGAGGAGCGCCCGGCAGGAGTCCTGTCGGTTAGAGTCTTTCCCTTTAGAATCCTCATCCTAAACCATTTTTCTTGTTCTTCTCTATTTATTTTGGTAACCCTTTGGTAATGTGAAACCTTAGAAGAATTTTCCAGTGTGCCCTTAACCCTACGCAGAGCTACTGATGAAAATGTCCATGCTTTCCTAAAGGAAGGCTTGTGCACTCCCCAGGACGGGGAGTTGGTGAGTGCTACCTGCAGAGTTCACCAGGTTGTGAGAGAGAAGCTGTGTGTTTGGGGCACTGCCCCCTGGGTGTGCTCCTGTGATAACTGGGGGCTTCACCGGCTCCTGGGGCTGATGCCAGCCCTGAAGACCTGCTCAAGGCTGATGCTGGGGCGTTCCAGTTTGCGTGGTTCCGCTGGCTTTTTTGTCCCCTACACCTGTCCCCTGGGCTGTGGGCCCATATAGAGTAGGATGAGCACTGTGTCAGGGTCCAGCCTTTCCTTACTCGGATTCTAAAGGTTTCTTTTCTGAAACAGCCTCGGGGAAAGGAGGGATGGAATTGGGGTGGGGGAGAGAGTAGAGTGGGAAATCTGGCTTCTTCTTTCTTTCTTTTTTTTTTTTTTTTGAAGATTTTTTCTTTATTTATTTATCCGAGAGAAAAAGAGAGAGAGCTTGAGAGAAAGAGAGAGAGCACAAGCAGGGGGAGTGGCAGGCAGAGGGAGTAGTAGTTTCCCTGCTGAGCAGAGAGCCCAGTGCAGGACACATTCCCAGGACCCTGAGATCCTGGCCTGAGCCAAAGGCAGACACTTAACTGACTGAGCCACCCAGGGGCCTCCTGACCTCTAATTTCTAATGGAAAGTCACAACGGGGATCTCTCCAGCAGATCCTGCTGGGGTCAGAGAGCAGGAGGGAGCCTTGGAATCACTGGGAGTGAGTTTGAGATCTCACCAGTGGCCATGGGAGTTGTAGACACATCTCCACTGAAGAAGGGAATTTGGGTGCTGCGACCAGAAATGGGCTGCAGTAGGAAAAGAAGGGGAAATAAAGTGCCCTATAGGATTTCTGTAGCTTTGGTTTTCCTAAAGCTTCTGATACAGCCAGATGGCAGGGGCCAAAGTCCCAGGGAACTGGAGATAGGAGAGAAATGCTTCTCTGTTTTGCCTAATGAAAGGTCACAGTCTAGCAGTTCAGTTAGTGAAGGGCTTCGACATGGAGCAGAAACCTACAAAGGCAAACTCAGAGGATGCGTCTGACCCCTCACTCTTGATTCAGTATTCATTCAGAGCCAAGCAAGCCTTGGCAAGCATGGGTATAGCAGAGAAAGCTGCTTTGTGAAACAAAAGGAAACTTCCAGGGCATATCCTTTGTCAGAACACCCAGCCAGCCCTAAGCAATCTAGCCTTCTGGTCTTATTTCCCATGAGATACATCAACATATCCTGTCTTTTCACACCTTTGTGCTTCAGATACTTCCCCACATTCGCAGCCTAAGGGAGGAGGCTGGCTGTATGTCACCCCCCACCCCCCCAAACCCCACCCCATGCTTTTTGCTGGACAGTCAGAACTCCTCCTTTTCTTTTTCTCTGGTTCTCATTACCCTTTATTTCTAACTCCGATAGCATAATGCTTGGGAAAAAAAAAAAACCAAACCCTGAAATCTGCCTATTCCTGCACCTGAATATAAACCCTTTGAGGCAAGGACGGTGACTTCTTCATCTTTGACTAACTCGGCCCTGTTCTGAGGGGGGAAGGGTGCATCTCTTTTCCCTCGCCCCAGTCCTGCAGTACCTAACACACGGTAGGATCTCAGGGCCTTTCTGTCGCGTCGAAGTGGTTCTGGGTTGATCAGATGAACGCAGTCCGCAGTAGACCAGCCTGTCCCTTCCTCCCTCCCCGCTCCGCGCAGTGACCCGCTCTGTGGCTGGTACACCTTGCTCCTGGCTCCTTCGTACTTTTATGGCAGGGGGCACTGCTGTTTGCTTTTCTTAGTCCTGACCCCGCTGTTCTCCCTTTGATCTCGGCTGCCTGCCCCAGCTCGCCCCTGCCATTGTCCTGCCTGCGGAGCTAATGTTTCTCCTTTGCGAGCCGGGCCTCTCCACCTCCTCTTCCTTGTACACTCTGAGGATAATGCCATCACGGAAGCAGTGATGCTGGGGATGGCTGGACTGAGAGATGGCCTCAGCCCCACCAAGGGTTCCGGGTGGGGTCAGCTTTTCTGGTAGAACGTCTGGATTCTCTGCTTGCTTCTCTTTTGTCGCCTGAGGGAGCTTGTTCCTGAGCTGGCTGGGAATTCAGGCAAGTGATCTGTGATGGGAGCCACAGGTGGCTGTGGCCCTGGGAAAGAAAGGCTGTGTGGCTCCTGTGACTAAAATTCTGCTGTATAGAGAAGGAAATAGGGTAGTCATACACCTCGGCCCTGAGGTCAGCCTGTTTGGGTTCGAATCCTGCAGAGCTGTTTACTAGTTGGACCATGTCAGTAAGATGGGGTTACACCAGTGCCTACCATGTTCATGTGCCCCGACCCCAGTCCAGGTGCCAGGGAAACAGCAGGAAAAAAATAAAATGGGTCAATACACTTAAATTCTTAGAACAGTATCTAGCACATAGGAGATATGCAGCAAATGTACCACTGTTCTCTTTTGTTTTTAAAAGATTTTACTTATTTATTAGAGAGAGAGAGAGCATGAGCTGGGGGACAGGCAGAGAGAGGGGGAGAAGCAGACTCCCTGCTGAGCAGAGAATCAGGATGTGGGACTTGATCCCAGGACCCTGAGATCCTGACTTGAGCCAAAGGCAGACTCTTGACAGACTGAGCCACCCAGGCGTCCCCCAGTATTGTTTCTAGTACTTTTCTGAGAGTACTCAGGTGGGATAACTTCCAGCAACACCTGCAGGACCAGATCTCTCGGAGATGGGGAAAGATGGAGGACGGTCCAGGATATCAGTTCTGTATTTGGGCTTCGGCTCGGGGCGCACCGGCTTCAGTGGCCTTTCATTTCTGCCACTTTGTTTGGAGACTCAGTTCGGGATATGGCTGAAGAGTGCCCTAAAAAACGTAGGCGTCTGTCTGGTTCCATAGAAGGGGCAGGAGGGCAGGAGGGTGGGGAATGGGTTAGCGGAGACTCTGCTTCGTCCATTTGTACCGGCAGCACCCGGCCTCCCGAGCCCTGCATGCAGGAGCCTGAGAGAGGCCACGTTCCTGGAGCCATCTGAAGGAGGTCCTGGAGATCGAAGAGATAAGGAAGGAGAACAGCTGTTGGCCTGTCCACGGTCGGGGCTCTCTGGCTTCGGAGAAGAGGACATGTTTTCAGAGGACGTGGCTTGGGGAGGCTGAAATTAAGGAGAGTGAGGGGAGATGGAGGTGTATGGCCTGATAGTTTACCTGTCCCCCCAACCTCCCCACACCCCCACCCCCCCCACCCCCCCCACCCGCTTCCAGTTTGCTCCTCGGGGCCCTTTCACTCCTGCGGTGATCACTGGTCAGAAGCAAAGTTCTGACTTTATTTGTGGTTTCCAGTGAAAGTCCAAGCCTGACGGAGTCCTGGCGGACCAGGCTCGGAGCACAAGTGCATGCTGCGTTTCCTGGGGATCGACAAGGGTTTCCGCTCCCACCATCCTTGGGGAGAGATAATCCTGACTGTGGTTCAGCAGCTGCTTGCCTGCTTCTCCTGCTTTCTCTCTTTCATCCTTCTCCCTCAGCGGCTTCTCAGAAACGACTGCCTTTATAGCACAGAGCACGTGCCCTTGACTCGAGCTGTGGGTCCACCCAGGGTTCTCAGGTGGGCGCACTGTGAGCTACTGGCACGGCTTCCCTCCGAGGCCGGCTAGCTTGGCTGGGAACCAGGACAGTCTGCCTGCACAGGTGAAGGCATTCTGGGTCCTTTCCAAGATTGCGAAGCGGAGCCAGGTTTGGGACCCCTGGATACCGGACGCCTTCATCTCGTTTTTACTGCCCTTGCTTCCGTCTCCAGCCGTCACTTCAAGTCTGTTAAGCCGAGTGCGTGAAACTTGAACTAGGCAAAGCATTTTCCTGTGGATATAAATCCACAGCTCATTCACAGCTAAGGAAACAGGTACATAGGGTGTGATGAGAGCAGGATTTCTCAACTTTCTCCCCCTCCTCATCTTGCTCAGGAACCTAAGGCACTTTTTCCTAATCTCTACCCCTCAGGAAATTTTAATACCACAGGGAGAGCAAAATTCTGTTTGTGTACTGTATGTAGACATTTCATACCTTAAAAGAGTAAGATTTTTTTCACCCCTCAAGAGCCAGTTTTCTCCCCTCTTGGGAGAATGATTGCCCCCATTTGTGGGTTTGTGGATTGCTATAAAGCTACGTAAAAGGGCCGGGAAGCCTCCAAATCTTTGCACACTTTAGTCCCCCCGCCCCAATCCCCTCTGAGCAAACACCACAGCTCCATAATTTAGTTTTGTCTCTCAGCCTTTCTTATTTTGCTCTTTCTCCCCTTTCCTGCATTTCATCCTTATTCTCTCTCTAGTGTGGAACTTTAGGATGGAATGTGAGTAAAACGGGGATCTGTTTAAATTGTCAGGGGCAATTTAAGTAAGATGATTTCCTAAAACAGTCCTCTCAGAGGTCAGCCCTTTGGAAGAAAGACCCTAGAGACTCTTGGGCAGATACCCCAGGGGCATTCATGGGAAAACACAATAGGTATTGGGGGAATTAAAGATGTGCTTTTGGAGTTGCCTTTCAAAGAAGACCTCACAATTGGTCTTTATACTGTTCCCAACAAGGTATGGATATGTTGGATCAAACTTCCCTGTATAAATTCTTTTATGGTTGATGCCACTTCTGCCAATGGGATATCAAACTGCTTTTCTCTGTCAATATAGTGTAACCAATGACAGCATCTCCTCTCCCCTCTAGAAACTACCAGAGGCATGCAGTGTAGGTGACGGAAGACCCTTTGTCATGAACTTACAGAGTCTGTATACGGCGGTCACCAGACAAGAGATCCAAGTGAGACAGAAACATCCGGGCAGCGGTGAGTAGCTCCGGAAGTACTTGGTCTCCCTGGGGTTAGAGTTCCGCCCTCCGATGTGGTAGCTCTCGCCCCTTGTGAATATTTCAGTTAAATACAAATGAAACGAAATGAAAAATTCCTCTCCTCCTTTGCTGTAGCCACACTTGAAATGCTCAGTAGCCCCACGTGGCCGGCAGCTACCAGGTCGGACAGGGCAGATGGAGAACATTTCTATCATTGCAGAAACCTCCACTGACACTGGTCTGAATCTTTAAACGTAGAAGCAGGGCTTCCCAGGAGTCAGCTGGAGGTTGGACTTGTAGCTACTTCTGTCTGTTTATATTATTAATCCTGAACTCTGACCTCGATCCGAATGCTTGCTAAATGCTAATGCCTCCCTGCTAAGAAGAAGGTATTTACCACAGTCTTCCCTTATCGTTCTGATTTCAGGAGATCCTCAGCTCTCAAGCAGCACCTCCCCACAAGGGACTGAAAACCAACTTCTGAACGAGCCAGAAGAGCCGGTCTCCTTGGCGCCATCCCTCCCAGTGCCCGAGAAAGAGCCCACAGTGAGTCACGCACCTGCAGCCCCTGAGCCAGACGTCCTTGACTTGTCACCTCATTGAGACGCTGCCTTAACCATACTGGAGGATATGTGTGACCAGGCTGCCAGATGACGGATTTCTGGAAGGGAGTCATGGTCTTTCACATCTTCCCTTGATACTTCCTCTCTGCCATTCCTGTATGGAGTGAAGGACCTTGACTCCTTTTCTTCCTTATCCCACTTCCAGTGATGGTCTGGGAGGTTGTTCCCTGGGGGGAGAAGGGATGTACGCAGGGCACGGGGTCTTAGATCACATTCGTTGCCTGACACAGCCTTCAGAACACCTGTGTCAGCCCCTCACCCCCACCAGAGCCACGGGAGCAAGGACGTTTCTCTCCTGACTTAGGTGGATCTGTTCAAAACCTCTGTTAACTCAGGTTCCTTTTCTTTCTAGGGTCCTTCAGGCCCTGTGCAGAGACCTCAGCTGTCAAAGGTCAAGAGGAAAAAGCTAAGGGGGCTCTTCAGTTAGCCCATCACTGTCTCGACTGCTGGGGACGGACTAGAAGAGCTTCCTTGTGTCACCTTGAGAGGAGCTCCCTTGGCAGCAACATCTGTGACACGGAGTTATATAGTCAGAGCACCACCACTGCCCTCCCCACCGCAAGGCTGAGATAACAGAAGTTCACACGGACAGGCCTGGGTACTCTTAACCCCCCGGGAATCTTGGCTCCACCCATTGGGCACTGGCCTTCCCTAGCCAAGTGGAAGCCAGCTTCCGAGAGTCCCAGACCTTCCTCTCTTTTGTTGGAGGTTCTCCAGACCCAGGATCCTACCGTGGACTCTAAGCACAGAGGCCAAGTCAGCAAAAAGGCACAATGCTCTCAAGAGCCCCTAGCCAACCCCAGGTGCTGCTCAGAGACCCACTTCTCTCTTAAGCATGGAATAAAAAGCACTCACACTCCCCTGCTTTCAAGATTGCTTATTCTGGGGAACATAGAACCAACTTCTTTCGCTCTACTGGGCCCCACCCACTGTCATCTCTAGATGAAGTTCAGGCCCTCAATCTGCTCCTTCAGGTCCTTCTCATGCTTCTCTCGTTGTGGCCTGTGCTAAGCCTCCATTTGGGACCTTTGATCTTGAGAACTCTCTCCGTGGTGGGCACAACACAGCACAGATCGCTGCCGCTCTCCTTTGCCCAACATCATGTAGGGTGTTTTTTGTTTTTTTGGGTTTTTTTTGTCTGTTTCCAAGGCATAGACAACAGACTAAACCACAGTCTGGGATAAAAATTATAAAGAGCTCCGAGCACAAGGGCTGAGGTAGTTTCCCACTGGAGTGGGGGAGACTTCATGCCACTTCAAATAACATGGCAACTAGGAAGACTTGAAAAGGTAGGACGGCAGGGAGCAGGAATGGGGACAGAGTTCTCTGGGACAACGGAACTGGCCTAGAGAATGAACAGCGCCTTAGCAGGAAGAAGGGCAAAGTTTCTATGAGGTAGGCAGCATCCTAGGGAGAAAGTCAACTCTTTGGACAGATCGGGCAAGATTTAGCATCCCAGGATTGGTCAAGTCCCTTGGGCTTTCTGGCTAGGTTCTCCTTACTAGGTAAGACCCTCTGAAACACGACTTCAGAGAGACAGGAAGGAAAGTCGAGCTCAGATGTTCATGGGGAGCTGTCGGGTGGAGGGAGGCATCGGGGCAGGACCCACGGACGCCTCGCCTGGTTTGTTTACTTATCACGGTCAAATGCCTTCCCATCCCCACACCTTCCCTGTCTGGGACGGGTGTTTCTGTCCTTACGTCAGGTCATGGGGACGAGGACAACCCAAGCAATAATAAAATAATAATGATTATAAGGAGAACAGCACAGATACAAGCAGCTAACAGGTACTAAGCAGTTAATGCACACCAGATTCCCTGATAAGCGCCTCACGTTGAATCCTCACAGCATCAGAGAGGGAAGATACTGTTCACCCACTTGGAAATAGAGTCTGGAAGCGATTAAGTGACTTATCAAAGGTCGCACAGCTAATAAGTAACAGCCAGCATTTAAACGGAGACTGCTGAGCTCTTAGCCGTGTATATGCACTGACCAACGTTCTCTGTTCTCCGGGAAGGGTGTTAGGCCTTCTTTCTTTCTTCATCTGTGACCCTCCTTCTCCCAAGGCCCTGCCTCCTTTCAGGAGGATCTCCTGGTTGCCACTGGCTCCTCACAGCGGGGGGCTCTCAGTACTCCAGGGGCCCCATGCTTTCACCCGACCAGGAGAGTTGTGGGCTCCCCCAGGGCTCGTTCCCAGGCACCACCAATAACGGCTTCTGGACCACAGCACCCTAAGACTTGCGCCCCACCAGCCGGACTGTCACCGAAGTGAACTGGGGACCATGTACAAACAAGCCCTCAGGCAGCACACTCTGTTCCCTGGTTTCTTTCTGGCATAATTTAGACAAGCCAGATTTCGGTATCGATGGGGTATGAGACTGCAAGGAAAGTGGGAAGACTTCCCCAGCAAGCTGAGTCGGGGGGAAATAGGGTTCTTCACCTTGGATAATCCCTCTGTGTTAAGACCACGGTGTCAAGAGCATGCATTTTTTTTTAAAGATATTTTTTATTTATTTGACAGAGAGAGAGAGAGAGATCACAAGTAGGCAGAGAGGCAGGCAGAGAGAGAGGAGGAAGCAGGCTCCCCGCTGAGCGGAGAGCCTGATGCGGGGCTCGATCCCAGGACCCTGAGATCATGACCTGAGCCGAAGGCAGAGGCTTTAACCCACTGAGCCACCCAGGTGCCCCAAGAGCATGCATTTTTAATCAGAGAGGGCCCAGGGGGTTGTGAATCCCCTGAAATTGTGAATAAAATGCTAAGAGCATAACTTTTTCGCATTCTCGAAAGAATGTGTGACTTTTTTAAAAGGTTAAGTAAGAGCACACCTAAGCGATCTCCCTGCCACCGCACTGTCCCCTTCACCCCAAAGTTTGCTGCCTCCGTAGGGATTTGCCTAAACACATCCTTCAAGAAGCAGTGCTCCCAGAGGCTCTGCCCTGGGTGGGTATCCTTGCCCCTCAGAGCTAGGGGTGGTGATTGAGAATCCTGGGGGCAACTCCAGGGAAATCCCAGCCTCTACAAATTGGCCTAGCCAGGCTGTACTCCAGCCCTGCCCCCTGGCTTGGGCCCCTCCCCAGGCCCCCAGCCTGGCCCAACCCCCACCCCACATGTACATAAAAGGGTCGAATTCTCGTGGCTGCTCCATAAATTTTATTCCGTAAATATTAGTTTTCCCTGTGTTTAATAAAGCAGTGGCCCACCTCCCCGCCTACCCGCCCGCTCCCCGGGGCCGGGGTTGGGGCCAGGGCTGGCTGTTGGGAGAAGGGACTCTTTCAATTGCTTTGGAGTATTTTTAGAAAAAAAAATAATATAAGGTGGTTTACAGGAGCAAGCCAGCAAACCAGGAGCAGGACTAGGGACCTCGAGGAAGTTCTTGCAACTTGACCTAAAAATAGGGAAATAGCGCCACCTAGGCTGCCAGGCCTATTTGGCCTCGCGGACAGGCGTCCCTGCCCCCACAGTCAGCTGGGACAGTCAAGCTCTTTGCTGGAAGAGAAATCTTCATCCCTTAGCCGGCCAGCTGGGCAGCACCTCCTTCGGCCCGGCCTGACTGAGGGCTTCCCAGCAGCCTTGAGGGCAGCGCCCTGGCCACCACCTGGAAAAAATCCCACCAGGGTCATTCTCTGCTCTGTCACGTCTCCTAGATAAAGGAGTGTTTCCAAAGGCTAGAAAAGTTATTGAGAAGGGAAAAAGGAGCTTCTAGTCTCCATCTTCCCACTGAACCTGGAGGAGCTGACCCTGGAATTTCTGGAGTGTAAGAAAGCAAAGAGATCAGTGCTCCTAAGTTCCAGACGAGGAAAGAATCTGTCCCTTCCCCGGGGTCTGATGAACTTCACCTCCACGGGGCACTTGGGGGGAAGGAGAGAAGATCAAGACTCCCAAATACTCAGCCCTACTGCTTCTTAATTTTATCTGGTGGTACATTTGAATTTCCACATCTTGCCTTCCTGTTCGCTGAAACCTCCCATCTCCCCCAGCTCTTACCTCCGCTCCTCGACTGGGCGGTTGGGAGATGAGCAGGTCCGCCTCTGGATAGCGACAGTGGGGTGGGGCAGGGGGGATGGAAAAGGCCACAGCTTGGTCTTGTTCTCCTTCTATCCACCATTATGCTGTCCCTTGTGTTCTCCTATTTACAAAACTAGGAAGATCTGTTCCCAAGAGTACAGGGGAACCCTAAAATCCTCTTAATAACCCATCCTCACGATGTAATAAGCTCTTTCTCTGTTCTGCCTACCCCCTTGCTATTTGAGCTATTAATGTCATCTGTGTTATACACATTTCCTGTGTGCCTTCTGTTTTCATCCTTTCATACTCTCAAGGAGTAAAAATACTCTTTGAGAACAGAGTCCGCTTTTGACCCTAACTCAGAAAATATCACCATGGTGGGATTATACTAGCAAACGGTGCAACTTCATGTTAACTGGGTTTTGATAAGATCCTGATGTATGCTTTTCTTTTCTTTTTGAAGTAATCTCTACCCCCAACATGGGGCTCGAACTTGCAACCTCAGGATCAGGAGTTACACGCTCTACCCACTGAGCCAGGCAGGCACCCCAGGATGTGTGCTTTCCTAAGCTCTGCCCTGAAGTATTTTCTATATTCTAGTTTTCCCAAAGAAGAAACTGTTCAAAAGGAGTAGTGACCTACTACAGGAAGACCCCCGCCTCAGAGCCAGAGCCTTGGCTCTGGGTTCCTAGACCCTGTTCCTGACATCAGTAAATATGTGGGCTCACCGACTTGCACTGGATTATGCTGGGCACTCAGTTACGGAGAGGAACAACAGAAGGGAAGGGAGTCCCACTTTGGAGGGAGAGATTTCCCAAACCGCCACAACCTTCTGGAAGCTGCGAGTTAATCTTGTTGCTCCTTACTGCTCTATTCCTCCCCGCACCTCCACCGCGTCAGACAGGGCATCAGAAGACCCCATCCTGAGGGGAAACATCCAGACAGGGAGAGTCTGAATTAGCTTGTGTGCATGCGCATGGGTGACGCAGAGGGACTTAAGGGATCCCTCGTTCCTTGAGCTGCAAGCCCAGCTGTCCTCTGTCTTTTGTTCCAGACCCTTGGAGGAATACTTTTCCATCTCCCGAGGTGCTGCCTTATGGTGGTTCCTCAACTCTGGGGTCTCATTTCTTTACCCTGGCTTCCAGGAAGTCATGATATGGCACCAAAGCCTTCCAGCAAAGGCTCCTTTGCTCTTCCAAGCTGTTAAGTCCTACCCGTGCTTGGTCTCTCTCTCTCTGGGAGCCCAGCACATTCTGCTGGGCCCTCTACACTCCTGGACCCTTTGAATGCGGCTAGCCTCTCAGCACCTAACTATCATGGGTTCCTGAGAGTCTGGGCCAGCTCAGGGGAACCCGGAAGAGGCACTGGAAGGACTCCAGGGTGTGGGGAGCACATAACCATTGACTCACCTGGGAAGATTGTACCAGGATTACCTGTCCTGCTGGGCCGAGGGCCAGGAGTTAAAGGAGCATATGCGATGCCACGCTTGTCCTCCCTCACTTTGGGGCCCCAAACAGAAGTGGGGCTAGAACTGGGGAAGAGGGCTTGGGGGCTGCTGGGAGTCCCTTCTGAAATCTGGGTGTTATATTTACTTTTTCATATTGGCAGCTGGAAGGGGAAGCCCATCCCAGCTCGGCATTGTTGTCTAACATGGTTAATCAGATTCTATAATCCTGCTGTGGAAATATTGGGCCTCACTCAAAACAATAGAGACCAAGAATATTGTGGTTAAACTTCAACCAACTGCCTCCCTGGCCTGTTTGCCTAACCCCTACCCCCCTCTCCCGGGCCAGAGTCCTCCTCGCTTTATGGACCCCTGATAGGATCGACAGGAGAAGGGAGAATGGAGTAGGGTAAGGGTAACCCTCTTGACTAGCCTTCCATCCAGCTTCCCCCTCCCACCCCAGGCCTTGAAGAGTAAGCAGGATGGTGCGCTGAGTCGGCGCTGGGGGCCGGGGGTGGGGGAAGCCCTGCAGGGTCTGGGTCTATGGTCAGGGGTCAAGCACAGTACTGCCGGGGGTCCTGGGAGGAAGGAGCATGTAAAGAGATCCTTTATACAAGACAAAAAGACCTGCTACCACGGGAGGAGGAAAGCCTGCCAGTTTCATTTACAAGTGCTACCTGGCGCTGCCCAGGGCATGCAGCAGTACCGATGGGTCCCATGTCACATATGGGAGGAACAGGAAGGCCCTGGCTGGGGGAAGAGGAATTGCCAGAAAGGATTTCTGTTTCATTAGTAACCTGATAGGACAGTAATGTAAAGAGTCATACTCTGATGATGTATGGATGTGACCCAGATACCCCACCGTGAGTGGTTTTCTGCTGGTGCTAATGTCCATTATGTTGCTCTCTTTAATAAGTACCAATTCAGTGTGGCAGGGTAATTTACACGATTGGAAGAGGAGGACAGAGGGACTAGAGGGCCTGGGCAATGGCCACATGGAATCAAAAGGAGATGCGGGGTCTGGATTATGCTAAAGGGAGAATTAACGCAGCGGTATGTTTGGCCAAAGGCAGACGATGTTCCTCCTGCGGACACTAGGGCACCTGGTTTGAGAAACGGCCAACTCTGAGTTTGTCCCCCGCTGTCACCCTGGCTTTAGAGGTGTCACAGCCAGTGAGCTGAGGTACAGTGAGGCCCAGCGCCAGCAACTTGGACTACTGAACGGTCAAAGTGTAGGTGCATTTTTAGGATTGGAAGAATGAAAGTAGCAGAACTGTGCCAAACAAAACTGTACTTGATCATGTCATATAGGGCGAGGACGGAAAACCAGGAAGGAGCATTTGATGTTTCTCACTGAGGGTGCTGTGTGGCAATTTGGGGACCGGCATGGCTCCTGTGGGTCCTCTCCCAAAGCCATTTTAAAGCAGGAACTGGTTTAAAACTGGCAGAAGGACACCTGGAAGATAGTTCTTGGGAGTGAGACGCTAAGACGTGTGTACGCTCCCAGAGAGGAATCTTGAAACCACCCTAAGGGCCGTCGTCAGATGGGATTGAAGCTGGTACAAAACTGATGTCAAGATGATCTAAAGATGATGGAAAACACTTCAACAGCGAAGTAAGTCGGACAACTAGTGGAGAGAAGTCGGTGGGAAGAAAGATTACCCGGTGGAAGCTCCAGAGGCTGGGTCGTGGTTCGGACCTGGAAGGGGGACGTTGGAAGCCAGGCCGGTTGGTTAAACCTTGTGTTGTATATAGACTGGGACTGTCAATGGGAAAGTCCACCGGGGCGTTCCAAAACATCACAAAGGAATTCAAAGAAAGGCAAAGGTTTGTAGAAACTATATCAGGAATGAAATAAAAAAACCCATATTCCACAAGAAACAGGCACAATTAAAGATGCATTAATTCAAGCCCTGTATATGTTGAGTGCCGACCCCGCAGCGTCCCCACCAACCAGGGATGTTCTGCCACTTGCCTTCTGGCCACAGAGATGTCGCTCCTGTTTTCAAGAAGCCTCCCATCCCAAGACGATAGTGAAGGGATAGTTGTTTTCAACTGTATAAAGTAGAAAGTGAGAGCCATGCCTGTGTCTCTTTTTAAAAAATGTTTAAAAGAATCCTATTATTTTATTATGTATTATTTATTTATATATATTTTTTTCATTTTCATTTTTATTTTTATTATCTGCTTTTATTTTTACCGGACTATATTGTGTCCATATTTACATATCAAACGTAAATCTCTTTAAGGGTAAATTATCTTCAGTACGAGCATTATACAAAGCTTGAAAATTGTACTCATGCTTAGCAAGCAGAAAACCAGGCTTACTCCATTTCTTCCCCCAGCTTCGTTCTTGATCGCACTGGTCTCCTTGCTATTTCTTTAATATGCAAGCACATAAGGCCTTTCTTTGCTCTCTCTGCTCCAGAACGCGCTTCCCTACACACCTGCTTGGTTGAAGACCTCACTTCTTTCAGGTCTTGGCTCAAGCCACACTCAGGGAGACCTCCACTGACCACCTTACTTACCAGAGTGAACTACCTCCCAACCTCACACCCTCCCCACAACCAGGCTGCCCTCCCACTCCTTCTCCTCCCTTCCACGGTTTGTGCTGATGGTCCTTCAGTTTCCCCAGTAACACATTATGCAACTTCGTTATTTTTAATTGTCAGTATCCCTAATGTTTCCCCCAATAGACTATACAGCTCCACGATGGCAGGACTCTCTTCTCGTTTCTCTGGTTCTCTCACATCCCAAGCAATTCGGGTCATGTTTGGCACTCTATAGGGGCTCAACACGACTCGTGGTGTGAATATTTGAAGAGAGATGATCACACACACACACACACCACCCTCCACCCCGGCGGTATCTTGAAGGAGTTTTAGAAACTTGTGGACACAAACGAATTTCATCTTTTTGGTTGGGAGCAACCTGTCAGAAGGCAAGAGTGGGGCCGAATGCCATCATGTGAGCTAGAATCACAAGCTGTCATTTTGCAGAAACTAAGAATACAAGTTAAAAGAAACAAGTGACAGGATACCTTCTTGCTTTCTTTGGCTGTACATCCCCAGTATCCTTAGGATGCTATCTGTACCAAGAGAGACTGGTGAGAGAGTGGGAGAGGGCCAATCCAAACCCAGTTACAGAAAGCATTCCAAGAGCATCGTTTGAGTATTAAAAGAGTAGTACCCTCTCCCGCACCAAACATTCACTGAACTAGTATTTTCCAAGACTCCCTTGAAGCAACTAATTTCTTCCCAAATAGAGACCCTGGGGTTGAAATAAAGCTTATTAGTCAACAAACATGTTATTATCCATATACAGAAATAGATTTGCATGTATGTCTTTCGGTCTATAAGAGTTTACCACAGTCCTTAGTTTCTGATTTGCAGGGGGCAGGGGACCTGTTCTAATATTGCTACTTTTTCCCTACATTTTCGAAATCATCAAAGCAAGGTCTTTAATGCTGGAATCTCTCTGAAGTGCCTTGTAATGAGCTTATTGCCAGAAAGCAAGGTAACTTGACTTTCCCATTTCTGATCAACAGCTGGCTTTCAATGCATCTGAATGGCTCTAATTGGATCTCCAAAATGTGCTCTGGACTGATCTGAGGCTTGAAAGACAGGCCTGCTACCATTTCTGCATGTGGGCCAAATTTGGTGGAGTTGCTAACCTCTTTAAAAAGATCAACAGTACGGGGCACCTGGGTGGCTCAGTTGGTTAAGCGACTTCCTTCAGCTCAGGTCATGGAGTCCCAGGATCGAGTCCCACATCAGGCTCCCTGCTCAGCAGGGAATCTGCTTCTCCCTTTGACCCTCCCCCTTCTCATGCTCTCTCTCTCATCCTCTCTCTCAAATAAATAAATAAAAATCTTTTTTAAAAAATCAACAGTACAGGGGTGCCTGCCTGGCTCAGTTGGTAGAGGGGAAACTCTTGATCTCCGGACTGTGAGTTTGACCCCCACGTTGGGTGTAGAGCCTACTTAAAAAATCAACAGAAGGGGCACCTGAGTGGCTCAGTGGGTTAAAGCCTCTGCCTTTGGCTCGGGTCATGGTCTCAGGGTCCTGGGATCGAGCCCCGCATTGGGGGGAGGTCTCTGCTCAGCGGGGAGCCTGCTTCCTCCTCTCTCTCTGCCTGCCTCTCTGCCTACTTGTGATCTCTCTCAAATAAATAAATAAAATCTTTAAAAAAATCAACAGAAATCAGAATGATCCCAACCAGCTGGGGAAATGGTCAAAGATATGAGGTGTTAAAAATCCAAGATAAAGGTAACAAAAGAGTCCCCTAGATTTAGAGAGAAAATGAGTGTCTTGAACAGAGGTCAACAACCCAGTGTGCTTGCCCCAGGAATCACGAAGAAATGGGATTATTATGGAGTCAAACCGGTCTGGATTCCAACTCCAACTCCCTCACTTACAAGCTCTGAACCTTAGTTCCTCATTCGTAAAATGAAGATAATGGTGTCAATTTCATAAGGCTTTTGTGAAGATTACATCAGATCGCAGTGGGGCTTCCCCCTTTCCTAGATCGTCCAGCTTGGGTTTTCATTATCACTGTGCCATCATCTGTGTTTGAGCGACAGCCCATCTCTGAGTTTCCTCTTCATTCTTTTCAGGCATTCCTTCCCCTCCTTCAAAACTGATATCTTTCAAGAGGTCTAACCCCATCATCAGTTGGAATTAGAGCACCTATGAAATAGATGTCAAAATCACCTGAAGATGATGAAAAACATTTCAACAGTTCAGTCACTGGGACAACTAGTGGGAGAGGTCAATGGGAAGAAAAGATCCCAGGCTAACAGCTTTCCAGTTCCATACCCTTCTAGGCCCTGATCTACTAACTTCTCTAGTTTATAATGCATTATTCTGTACTCATTCAGGAGTGGTATTCACTGCTTTGTAACTCTCTTTTATTTTCACAATTTATTTTTGAGGTTAAATAGTAAATTTCTTGAGGACAACAACTGTGTCTTTGACTTTCTGTTTGCATTCTCTGTCTTTATGTGCCCATCACGCTGTTGTGCACAAGGTAGATGATCCTTCAGAGAAAGAATCCTCTTAATCCCACTGCTGTCTCAGGACACACGAGTATGAGCAGCAGAGTATGAGCAGCTGGATGGATGCTACTCCCCCTGGACAGATGATAGGAATCAGACAGCCCCTGTTGCTAGCCAACCCAGCAGAGGATAATGACACAAAAGCTTTGTAGTTTACAGCTTATACTTGTAGTTCACAGCTTATACTTTTAACCCTCTTAACAGTCCTCCGAGGTAACTGATGAGCTTTTCACTTGATGCATGAGAAAACTAAACTTTAGAGAAGTCAAGGGACTTACCCAAGGCCACGTGGGTAGAAGGTATCAGAGACCACGTTCAGGTGCAGATCGGCCAATTCCAGGCCTGGTGCTCTTTCCATGAGCTGGGGCTGCTGTGCCCTGAGTCACCAGCAGGTATTCAACTAAATGCATTCCTGAAACTTGTCTGGTTGTGGCTTGGCTCCCATGGATTTAGAGCAAGATTGATCTGGGCAAGTGGCAGGACTAGTTGATCATAGAAATACGGACCAGAGCAGTATGTGTGTGTGTATCTGTGGATATACACACACGTCTGTACACACGCACATACCTACACACGCCTGTACAAATAGATGACAACAAGCACGTGGTATTTGTACTACAGTGTTAATTTCAAGATGGAGTAAATATACTAACATAGTAGTCTAATAAACAGATAGTAAAACTTTTAAATTTTCATTTAAGTAATCTCTACACCCAACATGGGGCTGGAACTCATGGCCCCGAGATCAAGAGTCCCACACTCTACTGACTGACCCAGCCAGGTGCCCCCAACAGATATTTTTAAATTATCAGGTTCTGTGGTGTCTTTTCCTCCCTCTCCTCTTTCTTTCCAACCTAGTTTTCCAAAGTGCACTCTAGTAAGCAAAAAAGGAATCAGCGTATCCAAAGAAATAGATTTTACTTTGTTCTTTGCAAAATCCAGATGATTGAGGGGGCAAAGGGGTCTAGAGGTGGGAGAAGGAAAGTGATTTTATCAATAGGCCTAGGACTCAGATGTGAGATGCCCTCATCAGGCTCTGTTGCTGCTGCTTAAACTCCAGGCCATTGGTGGCCCCGGGAGTGGCACGCCTTGTTTCTCCAGTTTATTGGCAACAGGATCCTACCAGTGACCAGAGAAAGGAGCATGCTGCATTTGCTTCTGGATGGATGAGCGCAAGTGCAAAGCTACCCCACATCTACCGAACAGCTAAGAACATGGGCAGCCAAGCCATCTTGGGCCCCAGTTGGGATCTAAAGCGCTCCAGGATCACTGCTGTGGAAGTGACGATGCTTTACTTATGGGCCTCTTCCCCACCCTCCTTCCACTGATGCATCCATTCCACGGATGGATGCAGATCTGAATTTGAGATTGAGATCCTGAATCACCACTGTGTCCTGAGAAAAAAGTGTAAGTTCAGAGTGAAGAAGCTCCAAGGTTCAAATCCCTACGGTGGGACCCCAGACAAGTAACTTTATCCTTAGAGCTTAGGGTTGTAGATCCATAATGTGAGAATAATAACTGCCATGCGCAGGGAGTTGTTGGGAAGATTTGACTAAGTGCTTAAGGTGTCATAGAGAATAGACTTGATAAATATCAGCCCCCACCCCCGCACTGTCCCCTGCTTCTCCCAGTCCACACCCTGAGCGCTGTTCCTAAGTTAGCCAGGCGGAGGAGGGGCTGGATTTGGTGGATCCCCGATCTCAACCAACGAGGTTACATTGCGGTAAGGGCACCCCCAATGCCAGGCGCACCCCTGATGCCAAGTTATAAGTTATAAGGTTGGCTATTTAAGAGAATCTTAAATTGTCTTTTACTTGGAGAAAAGAAGGTTGAAAGTGAATTTAACAAACTCTTCGAGACTGAAGCTGGTTAATGGCCTTGATCTCTAAGACCAGAAAAAAAAAAAGGAAAGGAGTTGAATTTGCATTAGAGAGGAAGGAAGAAAGACAGACTGAACTTAAGGCAAAACTGCTCTAGATGATTATTACATAACACATTGGGACAGGTGACCCTGGAAGCCTATGGGGTGGTCTTCTTTAGAGCTCCATAAAAAGAGGACCCCAGTTTGTCTGGATGGGGAGAGGCACTGGCCTGGCTGAGTAGTCTGTACTGGAAATCAGCAGAAGAGAGGCAGGCGGGTGGGGAATATCGCAGGGATATCTTCTGAGACCCAGAAAATATGCCTTAAATCTCTTTGAGAGCTTTCAAGGAAAAGAAACAACGTCAGAGTGGTCTGAGACTGGGAGACAGAATCCAAATACCATGGAAGGAAGAAACCCAGTGTAGGGAACATGGGGCAAAGGGGAGGAAAAGAAACAGCCCATCCTGTATCCAAGTCTACTTCTGGTGGCGTCATTATAACTTCCCTTCTGTGGGCCTCAGTCTCCTTTTCTATAAATGAAGTGATTGGATTAAGCACTACCTTGAGTCCTCAGCAATTCTGAACTTCTGTTCACAAAATCGATCCAGAGAACACATGAGCACATCTGTGAAAAGCCACCACCATCCAAAACCCTGGCTGTACTGGTGGCAGAAGACAGAGGGCCAGCACACCAGTGCAGGAGAGGGCTGGGGCTCTGGGGTCAGACTCAGGTAGAGGGTAGAGGATTTGAATTCCTCTCTGCTCCTCAGCCAGAAACTAGTTGTTCATCTTCTTTGAACTACAAAATCTTCATTTGTAAACCGGGAATAATAATAGCCTCATTGAGGGGTGTGAGTTTAAATTAGATAATGCAACTAGAATACTTAGTATAATAATATCTACTAGCTTCTGTGCCTTGGGCACCTATCAGCAAAACGGTACTTATTGTGTTAGTATTCTTGGAATGAGCATTTTTAAACCTTTCTATTTCTATCTCTACCGAATGTTAGGATATATTGCAACCGAATCATATAATTTGTTGCGATGGTGGCATTTGTCTTTAACATATTTGCCTTCTCTTGTTTTAGCAGAATAAATTCGAATTCATTCAGCTTTCCCGAAAGGCATATTAAAATAGGTACACAATCCATGCTTCTCTGGCTGCCTCTGCGTATTCTCTGTGCTTTTTAATTTGTCAAGTAGAAATAACACAGTAATTGTCCAGCGCGCCAGCAGCTCTAAATCGCTGAGATGGTCCTTAGCAAGTCCCTGTTCCCGAGACCTGTGCTGCCCCTCTCCGCGGTGGTCAGTTTCTCCAGGATTCTGGCGGTTTCACCATTAGCTACTCTTCTCGGCACCTTGGCCCCTCCCTTTGCAACTTCAGTTTGCTCCCTTCAATAGTGTTTCCAACTCAAAACCCCCTATCGGACTCTTCGTGAGGCTGCATGCCACACTCCCCCGCTGCACACCTGGGGGTCATAGGATGTGCGCCGGGTTGATAGGGAATTCAGTCCACCGAGCAGAGAAGGCGCGTCTCCTGGGCCAGGGCGGGGCCCCAGGTTAGGAGCGGCCTCCTGCCTTTTGGCTTTACTTCCCCGCAGGGGACACCGTAGGCGGCTGTGCGGTCCCGCCACTGCCCCCCGCCCCTCGCGTCCGGCCGCGCCGTGGGTTGCGGTCTCTGTGGGGGTGGCAGCTCCTGTCCTGGAGGTTTGCGTCTGGCGGGGCACCCCGGAGCCGCGGGGAACCCAGAGGCGAGGCCCAGGCGGGGTGGGGCGCGTCCGGGCGGGGAGGGCGAACTCAGGCAGCGCAGGGGGCGCCGAGGGCAGCGGGCGGGCGGACGCGGCGGAGGAGCGAGCGGGACGAGGGCTGGCTGGTGCCGGGGCCGCCCGCCCGAGGGGGAGGAGGCTGTGCCGCCCTTGCTGCAGGTTCGCTGTCGAGCGCACAGGAGGCAGGGACATGGGTAGGGTGCGGTCTGCGCGGGGCCCGAGCCCGGATCTCTTCCATTTCCCCTCTCACTCGGCCCCGAGCTGCGCTGCAGACGGCAGCAGCTCCCGCTCCGCCCGAGCCGCCTGACCGCCGGGCCGGGGTGCTAACCGCGGGGCCCGCCAGCCCCGCCGGCCCGGCCAGCCCAGCCCAGCCCGGCGGCCCGCAGCCCCGCCGCCCGCCGCCCCCCGCCGCCGCCGCGTTGCCAAAACAAACGGGCCGGCCTATTTATTGGCGGCCGGCGAGCCGGGCAGCTCAGAGTCGAGGCGCCGAGGGGGACAGCGCGCCGCCACCAGCCAGGGCCCCGGGCCCCCGCCCCGCACCTGAGTCCTGCCGGCCCTGCGCCGCGCCGCGGCAGCCCATGGCGCCCCCGCCTGGAGCCCCCCGGAGCCACCCGGACGCCTGAGTCCCCGCCGCGCTCCCGTCGACTCGCCCGCCCGCCAGCCCACCAGGCGCCCTCGCCCGCCGCTCGCTCGGGCTCCCCGGCCATGTCTCCCGCCCGGCTCCGGCCCCGACTGCAGTTCTGCCTGCTCCTGCTGCTGCTGCTGGTGCCGGCGGCGCGGGGCTGCGGGCCGGGCCGGGTGGTGGGCAGCCGGCGGCGACCGCCGCGCAAGCTTGTGCCGCTCGCCTACAAGCAGTTCAGCCCCAACGTGCCCGAGAAGACCCTGGGCGCCAGCGGGCGCTATGAAGGCAAGATCGCGCGCAGCTCGGAGCGCTTCAAGGAGCTCACCCCCAACTACAATCCCGACATCATCTTCAAGGATGAGGAGAACACGGGCGCCGACCGCCTCATGACCCAGGTGAGCGCGACCCGCCCTCGCAGGGCGCCGCCGTCGAAGCACCGCCACCTGCCCGGCCCTTCCCGCCCCCCCTGGCACCTTTTCCCGACTGGCTGGCACGCCCCCTGGCACCTGCCCCTCTCGCCAAGCCCGGCCGCCTGCTGCCCAAGATGGGCCGGCCAGGGGTCCCCGGAGGGCAGCGCGGACATCCGCGAACCCGCTGGAGGCTGTGAGAAGAGCTCCCCGCCGCCAAGCGCCACGGCCCAGCCGGGTGGCGGCAGCCTCTCTGGCCCGGAGTGCAGGCAGCTGAGGTCAGACGCGGCACCCGGAGGTACCTGGACTCCACCGCCTCCCGCGCCTCCGGGACCCACTCAGTCCCTCCGGGCCTAACCTTCCGCACGGCTGCGCCCCTCTCCTTTTGAAGCCATCGGGCACCCCAAAGGCGAAGAAGCTGTGGGCGCAGAGGGCCTTTCCTTCCCGCGCGCTCATGGTTCGCCGCGCTGCCCCCTCCTGGAGTAGCGTCCCCCAGGATCTGGTCTTAGGGACAGCGGGAAGAGTTGGGCTGGGAGGCGGAGGTGGGAAAGGGAACTTGCCCGGCGAGCCCACGTGTCTGTCCCGAGAGCTGAATGGCCCAGTTGCGGTTAAGGGTGGGGTGCCGGGAACTTCGGGCTCTGGGAACGAACTTGGGGGATCCCCTGGGCTTGGTGGCCGGGACGGGGAGGGCTGAAAGCGAAGAGCCACGATGCCTGCCTGGGGAGGCCGGGAGCAGAGCTAACGCTAGCTAGTCTCTGCAAGCGCGGAAGAGGACCCGCTCAGCCCACGCTCTTGGGCGGCAAACTTTCTTTCCTGCAGCCTGGGTCCCAAGGAATCAGAAACCTTCCTCTCCTTCCTCAGTGGTGTCCCGGGGCTGCCTCCGCAGGCAGGGAGCCTGCTTGTTAGGTGCTTTGGGAAGAGCAGCTCCACCACAACCCTCAGCTTGCGCCCTGGCGCCGGGGCTGGCCGGCCAGTGTCGGGGCCGAAGGTTGGCTGGTGGCCGGGCCGGGCCGGGCGCCGAGGAATGCAGATAAGGATCCGGGCCACGGGCTGGGCAATCATTGACAGCGCGCGCGCGGGGCTCTGGACCGGGGGGAGGGGGAGAAGGGCGGGGAGCAGGGGCCTGCGGGGCCGCCGGAGGTGGGCGGCTAGAAGCCTGGAGGCAAGGAGCACGCAGAGCTCCCTCCCTGGGCAGTGAGCGCCCCCCCCCCCCAGGTAGGCTGCTCCCCCCAGAGGTTGGCCAAACCTTGGGCTGTAGCCGCTGATGGCTCCTGGGAGACCCGAGTCCAAGGGTCTGTGGGGTTTGGGCTCTCTCAGGTGGGGCACTGGCTGCCCAGGCTTGGCAGGGCCCCACACCCAGTCAAGGACTGTGAAAGGGACCCCTCTCTCACAGGCCCCTCCCCCCAGTCAACTTCAGGGTCCTTTGGGCTGCAGGCATGGTGGGGGTCACCACAGACAGATGAGCTCTCTGGTCCTTCCCAGTAGGCCAGGGCGCAGCTCGACTCCCGCCCCCAGGTGAGACAGAGCATGGAGCCGGCTTGCTGAGATCAGAGGCTCATTTCCTCGGGTCCCTTCTCTGATAGGGGCCACACAGAGGTGCTCATGGCTCTGGACTCAGGGAGAACGTATCCTGGGATTATCAACCCCACGGGCTTCCCATGCAGCAGGAGACGCTGCCTGTCACCCTCCATCTGGCCGGGCTGTGAGCTAGCATTTCCATCAGCTTCTGGTTCCCCTGCTTCCACATCCATTGCTGGAGGCTTTTGGATCTTCAGTAGCAGCAGGAATTTAAAGGAAGAACTCTGTGGTGCTGGAGAGATCCAGGCAGCCCGGGATTCCCCTCCAACACAACCCCACGCTGCTGGGGCGCTCTGCACCTGCTGTGCCTCAGGGCTGGGGTTGGGGGGCTTCAGCCCTGAGGCTACGGTGACACCTACTGGGCACCTCCTGCCTTGCATGCCTAGCAGTCCTGCCGGAGGCAGTCGGCTTTGCTACCACTTCCCCCCACCCCCCACCCCGCCAGCAAAGTGCGGTTTTCTGGTCTCCAGGGCCTTGGTGGGACAGGGGGACTGGGTGCTGGAAGAGTAGTCCCATCTGTGGAGGGATGGGTGGCCCGATCTGAGGGGAGGGAGTGCAGGAGGGAGGGGCCCCTTATCAGAGAAGGTGGCCCAAGGGTGCACCTCCTGCCGGGCCCTCCGGATTTGTGGCGCCACCATGCGGTCCAGGTCCCTGGAGCAGCCAGATGCTAGAATGCAAGGAAACAAGTTAGGGCTCTTTGTTCTTAAGAGACAGGGATAGAGCACCTCCCCAGTTTCCCAACTCAGGCGGATGATCTGGGAGAGGCCTGGCATGCAGGCCAGCATCTCCCCCTAACTCCACGTGTTTTCCTCGTGCAGCGCTGCAAGGACCGCCTGAACTCTCTGGCCATCTCGGTGATGAACCAGTGGCCTGGCGTGAAGCTGCGAGTGACTGAAGGCTGGGACGAGGACGGTCACCACTCGGAGGAGTCGCTGCACTATGAGGGCCGCGCGGTGGACATTACTACTTCAGACCGCGACCGCAATAAGTACGGACTGCTGGCTCGCCTGGCCGTGGAGGCCGGCTTCGACTGGGTGTATTACGAGTCCAAGGCCCACGTGCATTGCTCCGTCAAGTCCGGTGAGCCGCTGCCTGGGGGCTGGGCCCGGGGCCGGGGCCGCAGGGCATGGGCAGGCACAGGGCTCACTGCTGCCCGGAAGGTGAAGAGGCCGGCCAGGGGATGGAGGAGGGGACCCCAGGGAAGAAGACGTCTGCGGCGCTCCCCGCTGCTGCTTGTGACCACCTGCTCGTCCCGTCCCTGGTAGTGTCATGGCAGGAGCCTAGGGAGACAGGGCCTGTCCCAGTGCTGCTGGGGGCCGGCCTTGCAGTCCGCAGTCCAGAGCCTGCCACAGGAAGTGCAAGCCAGAGCGAGCTGGACAGATGGAAGCCAGGCTGTGACAGAGATGGCCTCCCCACTCAGCTGACTCAGAATGGAAGCGGGTGGTGGGACCAGGGGCCGGGGCCAGGGCGTGCCCAGACACCAGCCTGCCTGACCAGGAGCCAGGAGCCCAGAGATTCAGAATCTACAACCCTGCGGCAGGTCAGGCCCTTTAGGGCACTTCATATGCTCCCCCGGGGTGGTGGGTGCAGGTGTCCCCAACCTCTCCCCCCAGAGCCCTGAAGCTGGACATTTTGGGGCAAAGCCAGCCACGAGGGCCAGAATAAACAGAGTGGACTCAATAAAGTGGATTTTCCCAGATTGGCCGCCTTGTTGATCCAAATGGGCAGGCATGGGGGCCTTGCCCCTCCTTCGACCTTGTCAACATCCCTGTCACCTACACTGAACCCAGTCACAGATGCTTCAAAAGGTTCCTGCATGACGGCCAGCCTAACCCCACCAGGCTGTGCACCAGCCCATAGTCACACTTGAAGACCTGGCACACTGAGACCAGGCCCACTGCTTCCTATTCCCAGACCCACTGGGGCACACCGTGGGGGCCCCCCACCCCCACCCTCCCCTCGGGCACTTCTCCACCAGTGGTATCTGCTTCAAGTCACATCCACCCTGAACCTGTGAAACACTGGCCCAGAGCCAACTCCCCAAGTGGCCACCTCCATCCTCATTCCTGACGCCCAACACTGCCCTCCATCCCACTCCCCAGTGCCACCATGTCCTGTCCCCACACAAGGACCCAGCACATGAAATGAAGACGGTGATTTTACCCTTGCCAGTGAGCCGAGCCCTGGCCTGACTGTCTGCTCCGAGGCTCCCCAGAAATCTGTGTTTGTGCATGGCCGGTCCTCCTCTCACTTCCTTATGGACTCTGAGGTTCAGCTCTGGCCCAGAACTTGGGGAGTCCATCTGAGAGGGCAATTTTGGGGGAGTGTCCGAGCAAAGAGTGAGAAATAATGGGACATCCAGACCCCAGAGGAGCTAAGTGCCTTCTCTACGGAGACTGCTGCTTGCCGAGGGTCAGGTCATGGCTGACTGCTGCCCGGCTCAGACAATCCTGGTCCTCTCTGACAGCTTCATGGCACTGTCAGGATGGAGGGCAGGCGGGGGTGGCAGGGGTTTTCCCTGGGCTTCAGGAGGGCCCTTTCCTCCTCACCCGTGGGTCTCAACACACTGAGTCCACTCCTCTCGCTGGTAAAGGATTCGATAGGGTGGCGGTGGGGGAAGGGAGGAAGATGACATCGTGGGCTGGGGTGGATTCAAGGCTGCATGGGACTGGGGGGTGTGTGGAGCAGAGCTGGTGTACGGTGAGCGGTGGCAGGGGGCACCCTGGGAGTGAGAGGCGCTCTGGGGAGGGGTGCTCTGACATAGTAGTAATACCTTTGTGTCCCTTCTTCCCACAGAGCACTCAGCTGCAGCCAAGACAGGAGGCTGCTTTCCTGCCGGAGCCCAGGTGCGCCTGGAGAGTGGGGCACGTGTGGCCTTGTCGGCCGTGAGGCCTGGAGACCGGGTGCTGGCCATGGGGGAGGATGGGAACCCCACCTTCAGCGACGTGCTCATTTTCCTGGACCGTGAGCCAGACAGGTTGAGGGCCTTCCGGGTCATCGAGACCCTGGACCCCCCGCGCCGCCTGGCACTCACGCCTGCCCACCTGCTCTTCACCTCCAACAATCACACGGAACCAGCGGCCCACTTCCGGGCCACCTTTGCCAGCCAAGTGCAGCCTGGCCAGTACGTGCTGGTGGCTGGGGTGCCAGGCCTGCAGGCCGCCCGAGTGGCGGCTGTCTCCACACACGTGGCAGTGGGGGCCTACGCCCCACTAACCAGACACGGGACGCTGGTGGTGGAGGACGTGGTGGCTTCCTGCTTTGCGGCCGTGGCTGACCACCGTCTGGCTCAGTTGGCCTTTTGGCCCCTGCGACTGTTTCACAGCTCGGTGTGGGGCAGCTGGACCCCGGGAGAGGGCGTGCACTGGTACCCTCGGCTGCTCTACCGTCTGGGACGGCTCCTGCTGGAAGAGGGCAGTTTCCACTCACTGGGCATGGCCGGGCCAGGGAGCTGAAAAGTCCCCTTGGCTGCCCTCCCGCAGCTTCCTTACTCAGTCCAAAGGCCTCCTTGCCAGCAGGGCACTAGCGCTGGACGGGACTTGAGTCGGGGGGCACTGGTTCCCACGATCTCCTCTTTCACGGACACACACCATTGCAACTTCATTGCGCAATGCCAGTGTCGACCACCCATCCCACCTTGATGCAGTGACAGAGTTGAAAGCCCAGCTGGTTGGTGGGGGTGGGAAGGGCTGGTCTAGCCTTCTACCCTAGAGACCTTGAGGCTGGCAGAGCGGGGCCAACCCAGCCAGCTATCCCTTCGACTTTTCATACCTGCCTCCCCCGCGGGGGAAGGCCCATTCCATCTGTCTTAGGTCCCTTGTAGGTGGGCTTGCCCCTCAGTTGATGCTGCTAGATTCCCTGGGAGCCAGCAGGGAGCTGGCTGGACTCGACGTCAGCTGCCCAGAACCGAGAAGGCCGTAGGGTAGGGCAGCCAGCCCGGCCATCATGAGGCAGGACCTTCCTTTCCGGACACACTCCTCGGGACGCCTCCAGAGACTGTTGCTATCAGCAGGAGGAGTTCTAGGTTTCAGCCAATGTGATCACAGCGCCCAGGAACCTGGGGAGGGGGCTGGATGTCCTTACCCCCACCCCCGCCCGGGCTAAGCTCCTTCTTCTGCTGAACCACAACCCCTACTCCCCCTCCGGTCAGTCTCCCCCACCTTATTTATTGGCACGGAGGGGGAAGCTCATGGGAGAATTTGGGGGATGTTTTGGTCTTTTCTTCCTTTTGTAATAAAAATTATTTAAGTTGTTAGAGCTGTAGAGTCTAGGACGCTGAGTGGGGCCAATACACAGCCTGGACCCATGGGTGGGTCTGTCCCAGGTGTGCTCACCTTCCTCCATGGACAGAACCTCCCATGCTCCCACCATCTCTGCAGGCCCTCCTCATCCAGAAGCCCAGCAAAACCTCCCCCTACACCCACCCCCGCCCCCAGAGAGCTGGGCTTGGCGCCGGGCAAGGCCTTTCATGTGCTGACCTCCAACTTTGCCTTAAACACTACTGGACCAGAGAGAAAACTGAGGTAACTAGCCCAGGACCCCGTTACTCCTCTCAAACCACCTCACTGTGCCTAGTCAAGGCCCGTTTCCTGCTTGCTCTAGACTTTCTCGGGGCCTGGGGTTCTCTTCCTTCAGTGCGAATAATGGACCATGGTACAAGAAGATTCTGTAGAATTCGCATCTGCCTCATGGCCCATTCTGACTTCTGGGATAACTCAGGGGTCCCTAATCTAGCAGGTCTCAAACCTCAGAACTCCCTGTGCAGCGTGTTTAAAAATGATTCCTGGCTCCACTCAAACAATTCTGCTGTAACAGATCCAGACGAGGCGCAGGAACTTTTTACAAACACACCCAACATGGCAAATGGCCCATGGATGGCCCTTGGAGAAACATGGCTTAGTCTAGAGAAGGCCCAGTTGGTTGCCCAGACAAGATGACCGCCTTCTTCATTTTCTCTTGGTCTCTCGAGCCGAAGGCCGTTTTTTTCTGAGCTGATCTCACTACAGATAGCCGAGATGCCCAGGTCCAGTGGTATATTTGTGAAATTGTCAGACGTTTCATAAGCCAGTTGAAATAGGCCACAGCAGGAGAATTCACACCATGGAAACGGGTGTACGCTCCGAAGTAGAGTTCCCCCGACCATGGAGAGCCAGTTGCTAAAACACACCATCGTCCAGTTTCTCCCCTCCGCATCAGGGATGACTGCTCAGACTCTTACCTCACCCTTCCCCCATCTCCATGGAGGAAAACACCGGAGAAAACGTCATTACCCTGGAAGCTGTGTCATCTGGGAGGAAATAGGGTCCCCCAGGCAATAATGACAACTGCTGTTGTCTGGTGCAGACTAACCGTCACCGTGCATTGTTCTGAGTACTTTATAGGAAGCTACTTAATTCTGGCAACAACCTTTGCGATGTATGTTTTCATATTACCATGTTTCAGATGAGCACAGAAGCACAGGGAGGTTAAGTAACTTGCCCGAGGTGACAGAGCAAGGGACAGAAGCAAGATTTGAACCCATGCATTTTGGCCTTTGGGCCCAGTTTTGACCACAAGGTTTTTCCCTTAGTGAACCTGGGTTCTCTCTGGAAGGCATTCTCAGCATTTCAGGCCTGGAAGTCAGCTTTGTCAGCACATCTACAATGGATTCATGGGCAGACGCTTATGAGCCAGGTTCACAGGACCGAATGGCCATGAACTCATCTACAGTGAAAAACAGAAGATCAAGGTCAAGATACTCTTGTCCGTTTGTTTGTACATTCTCTCACTTACAGACATTCTTTGTGGGGGTGGGGGAGAGGCAGAGAGAGAGAGAGAAAGAAAGGGAGGGAGAGAGGGAAGAGGGAGGGGGAGGAAGAAAGAGAGGCTTTCCCCCATGGGGTCCAGCTGCTTCTCCTACTGGGCCTGAGTACACTCTGTCCTGCAGACACAGAGCCATTTGGTGTCCCCAGACCTTTCTGTTCTAGATGGGTTTCCTCAGGAAATACATTCATTCTCCAGACAAAGAAGGCTGCAAAGATTCAGAAAGAAATTTATCTGAATCCAAACCCTCAAAACCCAACCTTGGGGTGGATGTGGGACCCTGTGGCTTTTCCAAGAATTCTGGGACCAGACCTAGGCACAATGTGTGAGCAGGGAGACATGGGGAGACAGCCTGGGAAGACATCTTCCACCGTTACAGGATGATTGGGGCCCCAATCTCTCCCCACCAAACCCACCTCGTCCCAGCATCTATAATGCCAAGGCCCAGAGGAGGGTCAACCATGCCACCCAGGCAGCTACTGATCCTATGCCTGCTTCTCTTCTCAAGGTCAAGTGCAGCCCCCAAAGCTCCTGCGTCCACAATTATGACCCGCATTCACGTGTTTGGTCCTCATTCACTGGATACTCTTGTGTTGGGTCCCATGCCAGAGTGATGGAAAGTGGTGGTCCCCGCCATGGGGAACCCTTGGGTGGTGGGAAGCAGCATGGGGAGACACGCCCGTGCTGTGTGCTGGGTCCTGTGGCCAGCATCTCACAGGGGCTATGGGAGTGCCATGGAGAGGTGGGGAGCTTGGAAGGCTTCCTGGAGGCGAGGATGCTACAGGTAGGGCAAGGAGGCCTTTGCATTGTGGGTCTGTAAAGGAAGGGATCCAGGCTGAGGACAAAGAACATGCAAAAGTGTGCGGGCTTGAGGGAACCTGGGGGCTTGAAGGAACTGCCAGGCCAGCGTCACAAACCTATGTGTGCGTGGCCAAACGGAAGTAGAGAGGTAGGCAAGGGTCAAATGACACAGGGCCTTCTCCTGGTTTCCCAAGGCTAGTCTAACTGGGTTCAAGGGAGCCTGGGGCTCCTATTTTCTCTGCCTGCCCACCCCCCATTGGGAGTGCATGGGGAAGAGATTCAGAGTCATCCCGCACAGCCCAGTCCAGGCAAAATGCAACACCCTTGCCTGAGTCCACAAGTCCTCAGGGAGAAATGGAGCTAGGGAGACCTGGAGTGTTGGGGTACAGGAGACAAAGTGGGGAATCTGGCTGGGAGGCCTATGGAGCTGCCTGGACAGACTGCCCTCAACACAGGGGCCTCTACACCTGGCTCTCCTACTTGTCTGGGCAGAGGCGCCCCCTCAGGTACCCACTCCCCAAGCTGTCCTTGCAGCCTCCTCTCTCCCGTTTGGAAAGACCCAGTGACCCTGGGGATGGCTTTTCTGAAGCTTCGTGGGCCTGCCCTCACCTGAAGATGCTGCCCTGGGGATGGTTTCTGACAGTCTGCAGCGCTGTGCTGGGACGGGCCGAGCAGAACGCACCGATCCTTTAGGCAACCAGGCCTGTGGCGGGGGCCAGCAGCCCATGTGGGGACTGGAAATAGGAGCCGCTCCCTGAAAAAGTTTAACATATCCCTCCCTCCCCACCCTGCAAAGAGATCCAACTAGAAAAGGCAACTCCTCTGGCCTGGTGCCAGCAAGCCTGTTTAGGTGAGAGCCTGGTGCAGGGGGCACGCCAGGGTATCAGCACACCCAGATTTCAGCCCCAGCTGTCCTGCCGAGCCTAGAACCCGTTTGTAATGTACAACTTGTACAACTTTAACTCTAGCCCAGGAGGCCAGCAGGGGTCTCTGCCAGGCTCAGCGGATTCTCCGCCTGCAATTCAAGTTTGGAGAGAAGTTCCCCAAGTGTCACATGGGAGAAGGCAGAGAGCAATTAGACAGGAGTGAGGACTGGATGAGCTCAATGACCCCGGTGACCAGGGACTTCCTGGAAGTGGTTTTGGGCTGCTGCCTTCCAGGTTGAGTGACGGGGTCAAGGGTAGGTGGAGGGATTATTGGGAGCCGATGTGCTGAGAAGATGCAGGGCACACTCAAGAACTGGGAACTGGTGTGTGTGTTTGGTGGGCGGGCCGGGGTGGGGGGCGCTAAAGGTGCCAGGAGGGGAAATGGGAGCTGGGCTGGGGATTGGGGGACACTGTGCCCCATGGAAGAGGTCTAGCTGCTTGCCTGGTAGGAAGGCTAGAGCAGGAAATGCTCCAAAGAAGTCAGAACGGTGGGTCCTGGGGAAGGCACAGGTCCTGCTCCCCACAGGGGAGGGTGTTCCCTCTGCAGAAGAACTTCTCTGGTAGGGGTTGGAGGCAACGGCTCCCTCACCCCATGCCCTCTGCCCACTGGGTGGAATGCGCCTGATGGGGCTCAGCCCCGTGTCCCACACCCCAGCCTGGTTCTCAAAGCCTCTTTGTTCCATGGGACTGAGTTGTGGCCAGCCCCGATCTGATAAGGCCAGTGGGGCAGATAGTGGCCCGCCCTGCATGCTGCACCACCCCAAGCCACACCCTGGCCACCTCGCACGCACAGGGCATGGGGCCCCAGCAGTGCAGAGATGCAGGGGGCTTCCTGGCCAGGTTAGGGTCAGGAAGCCTCAACTTGTAGGCTGGCCCTCCCTGAAGTCTGTTTAAGACCCCTCTCATCTGCACGGGGGAATTGGGTTAAGAGAATTATCCCCATTTCAGAAATCAAGTCTCCAAGAGGGAAAATGACTTGCCCCTCGTTTCTTTCATCATCAGGAGCATCGACTGTGCTGTCTGTTATTCACATCATCTTTTAAAGTCCTAACAGCCTATGAAGTGAGGTTGTTCCTAATTCCTACTTTGCAGAGAAGAAACTGGGGCCAGAGAGGTGAAGTCACCTGCCCAAGGACACACAGTAGCAGAGTCCAGATTAGAACCAGATCAGGTGCCCTTCAGCGGCAAACTGAAGAAGGTAGGAACTGATGAGTCACCATCCCAGAGGAATGGGAGGAATGCATTTCAGCTTCAACCTAAAAGATCTGGTGGGGCCGGGGGTGGCCAAGAACCCATTAGGGAAGGTGATCCTAGAGGACTAATGTTCTAGAAGCTGTGAGAGGATCCTGTGCTGGTGGGAGTGGCAATGGTTAAAGTATGTCCACAAATTACTTGACACTTCTCTCCCCTTGGAAAAGGCCTGGTTCTGCCTGGTTCTACCATGAGATTGCCAGGCTAGAGAGGCTACAGATAGGTGTTCCTGTCCCTAGGCTATCCCAGCTTCCAGACCACAGCACCATCTTGAAAGTCACAGCCCAGTGGAACT